TTGTGTAATGTCAATTATTGACAGTAGCAACTTTCTGTTTTTAAAAAACACAATTTTGGTATTAACATTTTTTTCTTTACCATAATTTTTACAATACTTGTTTATTAGTGAAGTCTTACCTACTTTTTCTGGACCAACTACTAATATTTTGACGGTTAAAGTGTCTTTTGGATTGAATTCATTAGACATGTTTTATAGTTTAAATTCAGATTTTTATTAAATGATAAATTTTATTTATTTTTAGTAATTCAATTTCAAAATAATTACCATATTTATTATAATTATTAGTTTAACTAAATTGTCTTAGTTTTTTTTATTATTTAATTTATTTTCTAACTGTAGAACTACTGCGAAAAATACACCAAAAAAGTCATAAATTAAGAAATGGGTAAAAACGTATAATAATGGTATAAACCAAAACAATATTTTTTAAGTTTTGAAATTTTTCTCAATTAATTACAGTTCAAAAATTCAAAAATAATAATTAAAGTTTTGAAGAATGATTTTATCAATAAAATCATTCAAAAATATCATTTCCCCAAAACATTTTAATAACATATTTTCATTTTATTGAAAATGTTGCGTTAGATTTAAATAACAAAATAAATATTTAAATTTACATATTATATTTTTGATTAACCTGTTATATATTATAAATAAATGAATATAATCAAATGTTTATTTTACATTAATTTGATTGTTTAACTTTTACAAGTAATTTTTTTTATTTTTTGGCTTTCGATTATATTATTTTAAACCATACATCTTTGTTGTATATTGGCAACAAAGATGTCAATAAACAAACCCGATTTAAACGTATTATTTTAAAATAAAAGTGTTACAACAAATAAAATTCTCGATTTGTTTTTCTGTTAAATAAAAGTAGTTTATAATATTCATTTTTTCGAACATTGTTTATAATTTGTTAAATTTTATAACAATATGTTTGTGTATAAAATAATAAAACAAACGCATATAATTTAAATGTTTATTTACACTGGTATCAATATTTAATTTTAAAATTTTTGTTGATAAGAATTGATAAACAAAACACTTCCGTCTTTAAACTGTTCTTATAGTTTTAAACATTTTAAGAAAAATTTAATACTTTATACCCATTCGATCAAAAAGTATCAATTGAGTATATTCCGGATTCATAGTTAACAGTGCCATACATTTAATTATATCTATATAATTGAAATCAAGTAAATCAAGTGGAAGTAATTGAAAATGGATTATGTTCTTTGTCCATCTGTAAATATATACAAATGATGATTATTTTATAATTATTTTATTAAACAGAGTTGGGGTTTAAAGTTATCGACAACCAATATAAAAATATTGTATTTTAACTACATTAAAATTTATTATAAAAATTGTAAAAACCCAATTCAAAAACAACTATTTATAATGGTATTATAATATTTTGATTAAAAGTTTTCTTTGTAAATTACTAAATTCTCATTAAAATAAACAACAAACATATTATTTTTGTACTTTATATACAGTTGGAGGAAATAAAGGGATGCTAGAGAAAGGAGAATGCTCGTTATTATTTGTTATAACCAATACTCACTAACCAATAAAATTTAAAAAAAACTAAAATAAAATTATTAAAGAGTAGCATCCTACTTTTTTTCTCAGCATTTCTTTATTTTTTCCTACTGTACATGTAACAACACTGATTATAAAATTAAACAAAAAATATTATTATTGCAATAAACAATTTTACACAGAATTAAAAATTACATACTTACAGTATGGAGAATAATATGTCTTGCGGGAACTAATTTGTCTACACCTTTAAATAGTAAAAGTTATTAAATTTTATTATACTCAAAATATTTATTAGATTTATTCAGATCAAATTTTTAAATAACATTTCTTTTAAAACATTACTTCCAACAAATCATTAAAAAATAACTATGTTTTTGTTCGTGACACGTTTATTATTATTTAAAACGGGACATTACAGTGTTGAGGATGGAAAATAAAAAATTAAGACACCACACTTTGAAACACTAGAAAAAACCAAGCATTGATATGATTGATAATACAATTGACACTTCCTTACGAAGAATCAATAAACAACAGTCAGAAAAAATTATATTGAACAAAAATATAATAAAAATTAAGTTAATAATTGCGCATAAAAAGTGTTTCTACTGTGACCATTCTTTCCGAACCTCACTCCAATTTTCAGAGTAAAGCATTTGCCTCAATACTTTTTAATAAAGTTCACCTCTACGCGACCGTTTGTGCTTTCCCATGTCAACACATCCTTGTCCGTACTGCGTGGACGCGGATGTTATTCCACCCCGCTTGCGGGGGAAGGGGGTCAGAAAGAATCCGCGCCGAAAGAGGACCGGAAAGTGTGGAACGGGTGCACATACATACTGTTGAAGCGCGACTTCCGGAGCCTTCTTTTCGATGATGTTTCACTTGGTATCTACTGACTCAAGGTGACTGTTCGTCATTATTTGAATTTGATACCAGACCAATTATTAACTTGATTTTTTGCATATTATTTAAAATAGAAAATAATATGCAATAATAATAATGTAAAAAACTATCCTTGGTTGTGCTGGTCCATAAACACTTTTGTATGATGCTATTAAAAACATAAACAAAGCAAACAGTTGATACAGTGAACACCAACAACATTAACATATTGTTAATAAATCAATTTTTATAATTGTATTTTCGAGTTTTAGTGGGATAATTATTTTAGTTTGGGTTGTTTGGTTTATAATTAGAAAGTAGACAAATTACGAATTTGGAGATGGAACTGAATAAAATTTTGGGGAAATTGTGACTTAAAATTGGGAAATTGAGATGCTAATAGGTTTATAAGACAAATTAGTTGCCCATATGTATATCCATATATATATAATATAAGAATGATAAATGGATAAAACACTTACAAAAATATTATTATACAAATCTGTCAATTTTTATCAAATTTGATAAACTAAAAAAACATAAACAATTATAAATTATGAGTATATGATTTACAAATTTTACTAAAGTCATTCTTTAAACCGTGCAACTTTGACGTGTCAGTGCAACTTTGTTTATATTATAATTATAATAAAACAATTATATGTTTTTTATAAAAAAAACATACAAACAAATTTCTTTAAAACTATTACTCTAATTAATATACTATAACTAAACTATAACTAAAGTTGCACAATTTTTCTCAATTAGTTTTTTGGGTTGCACCATTCAACAGTCTCGTGTTTATCGAAATTTTGCAGCGAAAAAGTCTTTGAATCACACGAATTGGCTTGTCTCATTATTTTCTTTTATAAACGAGATGTTTAACATCTGCGCTATTCAAAATCAATATACAACACTGTTTTATTCGTTCTGTATGACAACTGGAATTCTGGATTTTTAATGTTTTTATTAGAACGAGCAGTTGAACTTATCATTTAAATATCGAGTTATATTTTATGTTGATTTATAACCTAATTCCATTTTTGTTATTGTTTTTGTTATTGTTGAAAAATAGAGTTTCACCTTTGTTGTGAGTAAAGGCGATCACGGTGAATCTATTTATGTTGATTATTTTGGCTTTTTTACTCAGGAAATAAATATAGAACGATTATTAATAAAAATGAAAAATTTAGAAAATAATTTTTTACTTATAAAAATACAACATACTTTGCTCCAAATATAAAAAACAAAATAATTGCAAAATAATATTTTATATTTTGAATCAGTTTCTTAACGTTTTCTGTTATAAAAAATAATTATTGTTATTTTTTTAATAAAAAGTTTAATATATTTACTAAATTATATAGTTCAAATAATTATTTTTACAAATAAATATAAAAACCGCAATTGAGTTGTGTGAAGGGGGAATTTGTATTTATTGATGGAAAAGTGTTTCCGTTGATCTTGCGGAGACTTTGGATACATCTCCGTAGCTAGTTAGTTACAATTAACACAACAATGAAAGTCCTCCGCTATTTTTTATTAAAACTTTTTTGTTAAAAAAAACGTGAAAAAATTTGAAATAGTATATTCAATCGTAAATAATCTATAATACAAAATCATCATCTATAAATAAAATGTGCATTTTTCATCATCTAAATATAGAACAATTAACATAAAAAAAGAAAAAAAACACAATGTACTAATAATTTGTATTATTATATATAATATCGTAATAGTACACCATTCATAATCATTTATTATATCATTTAAATTATTACAACATTTGTAATTTGATCAATAAACGTAAACTTATTTTGAAGAAACTTGACACGCGTGATACAGTTAACACTTAACCATATTTAAATTTATTTGTTAAATAATCAAATGTTTACAGATAAACATACTTTAATATGAATTGTCAAAAGTACCCAATTATTGATAAATTTGTTATTTTTTGATAGTATGTTTATTGTGTTTAATTGACATTATTTTTTTAATACACAATACATACATGTATTTGTTCAAAATTAAAACAATATTAAAACAGTTTTCAAAGGTGTTGTATTTGTATTTCAAACTATATTGTTAAAGATAGGTTATGTTTGTTTTTTTAATAAACAATTCTGATAATTCACAAATTCATTGAAAGTTTTTTGTATTTGTTCGTAAACATTAATAACAAAACATAATATACATATTATAATTATCAATCAAATTTATATTGCTTGTAATTTATGTTTATATCATTCTCGTGTTATTTCAATCAAGAAAATGAATATTTAAGCTTGTTATATTAAGATACAACCATTTTGAGTGTTTTTCAAATAGATTTGATTCTGTTTCATTAAAAAGTATAAAAACTTATTTTGAATGTTTAAATACATAATTGGAATATATGTATTATTTTTGTATATTGTAATTTTTGATAAAATGATTGTTAATTCAAGGATTTGTAAATAAATATCATTTTTTACAAATAATAAACTGATATTTAATTTGAACAACACAAATTCTTGTTCAAATTTAGTTTAAAATATCAATAAATATTTTTACTATTATTCAATAATAATTCACATTAAAAAATGTTAAAACCGTTAATGTATTGATGTTATATCATTGTTTCAAGCTCTGTCACTTGTTTATATGATATTTTATAATAAAATGTCGAACAATAAAAATTTAGTTACATCAAATATTTTAACAATCAATTTATGATGAATAGCAAAAACAACAAATTGTGATAA